ATATATATATATATATATGCGTACACACTTTAATAAATTCCGCGTGGAAAATTTTTTGAAAAAAGAAAAGCCTGTCCTTTCTAGGAAATTACAATTTGCATATTATCAAATCGCAGAAAACCCCGGCCGACGATAGCTCAAGCTTCGTCTTTGATCAATTCAGGTTTACGATCTGCTCAATCATTTCTTCTTTTTGCATTTTCCCATCGCAACTTTATTGTTCGCATTCCCAGGTTCATAATTGTTGTCGTTGATCATCTGATTAGGTTTTTTTGTGCCCAATTAGGAAAAAAAAAAAAGGCAAAGAATTGGGTTCTTTTTCCAATTGAAAATTGGCATTTTGGGTTTAAATCATCTTTTGATATTTTGGTGGGTCTCCATTTGTTTTTTCGATTGAATTCATATTTGCATTCCTGAACAATTGTTTTGCTTTTCACCTCTTTTATTTCATATTTTGATTGGCAATTGATACTGTTATATATAGCTGATTAAAGAGAAACGCACTAAATATTATTCATCTTTTTGGCAGTTTTTGATATTAAATTGTGGAGCTCCCGTTTGCCGTTTGCAATTTGGCGTGTAAAATTTTCTGGGGTCTCACTAAATTGAACTTTATGCCCATCCCTGGTTCGTCTCAGTGGCTAAATTATTGTTTTGATTGAAATGGGAGAACGGTCTTGCTAGCTAAGTTCTGATGAGAATTTTGGAGTTGGGTTTTACTAGAGAAGCTGAGTTTGTAACCAATGGCTTTGAACTATATAGCCATCTCGGGGCTCTGTACAGTACTAAGTTTTGTGGGTCTCCAGTTGTGGACGGAATCGTCCTTGGGACAACTGAAGTCAGATGGACTAATTCCTGAGAATTCTCCCTCTGCTGGGAATGTTGTCCATGTGGTTGATCTTCTGTTGGGATCTTATACGACGATTGCATTGCTTGCAAATTTTGTGCTCAATGTATTCATTTTGCTCGTTCTATTTCTTAAGGTAAGCTTGCTATTTCGTTACGAAACTTGTGCTATGTGTAGTTGTGACTCTTATGGATGCATGAAATTATGTGAAAACTGATCTAGCAATGTCTCTATATGAATTTATTTTAATACATTTTTCATGAAAACGACGTAAAGTACAGATCCTTAAAACTTGTTGTAGGATGAATGGTGATTAATCTGCTAGGTTAACTAGTTTTAGATATATGGATTGCATTTGTAATTCATGGTAAACAAGAAAACCTATCAAAAGCGAGTAGAAGAATATGAACCTTGTCTGACATCTGTAAGGTAAGGCCCAGATCTGAGATGTATTATGTGTAGCCCATTGTTGGCTATTGCAGTTGACCAAGTTGAGAAGTCTAATATGGGTCTTGCATAATTCTTGATTTGATAGTTGTTGCTTCTATTTGGCTTGCAGACTATATTCTTTGTGGAGTTGTATCCTTCTGAAACTCGAAAGTTGGTGGAACGTCTTGTTAACTATATTATATATAAGGTAAATGTTCTGGCAAACTTCATCCCACCTCCACCAAAAACTAAAGAGCAAAAACGAAAAGATTGACTCTGTTTATCTATTGCATTTCGTATTGGTCCACTAATTGTGCTTGTAACATGTCATGCATTTAACAGTGTTCTTGGATGCTTAGTCCGTGCAGTGATTATTGCATCCTGTACAGCATTGATACATGATGTCTTTAGATGTCAGTTAACTTTAATGCGTGCTATCTACTTTTCAGACAAATTTTCTGATTTTTTTGTTTTCAATATTATGATGAAACTGTTGTGTACTCATCTTATGCAGGGGACATTTCTACCTCTGGTTGTTCCACCCACAATATATCATGCAGGCTTATGGTCGATTTGGTTGATCGTTCTTTGCTGTCTAAAGGTATATAACATGATATCTCGTGATGGACATCCTATTTCTATGTTTACTTAAGTGGAACTAAATATCTCTGTTCTTCCTTACACGTTTATATATTTTGACAGATGTTCCAAGCTTTGGCAAGAGACCGACTCGAAAGACTAAACGCGTCTCCTTCTGCCACACCAGTGGCATATTTTCGTGTGTATTCAGTATTATTGTTGGTCCTCTTTGTCGACATCTTATGGTACTTCATTTATTTTCCTATTCTTTAAGGTTGATATTGTAGGGAATATATATATTCAATACTCCAGTGATAAAGGCTTCTTCTGTTAGGAAGAAATAAAGATGGATTTTCCTTCTATGATATATATTATTTTAATATCCTGTTCATCAAGCTTGGTTTTTATGTAAGTTTTCAACTGGCATATGAGCAGTTTATTTTTCTTACCTCTCCCTTCCCCCGTCAATAATATTTACTGAGTAATGTCTCGTGTATTTTGTTGTGTGCCTACAGGATACAGCTGTGTCTGGTAATATATAAGACATTGAATTTATCAGTGTTTCTGCTGTTATTGTTTGAGCCTCTCAGTATTGCATTTGAGACGCTTCAGGTAATTCTATTAGAACTCTTGAGGACATCTTTTCTGAAGGATTGTTGATTTGTGGCCAAAGAAGTTTGAAAAATTGAACTTGACAATGCTTTTGGTATCTCAAATAATTTTGTAGGCTATTTTGGTGCATGGGTTTCAATTACTTGATATATGGATCCATCATTCGGCATGGAGCAGCTCGAGTTGTGATAGATTTAAATTGTTCGACACATCAGCAACAGGTTTTAAACATTGTGCTTTGATCATCTTACATTCTAAATTGAGTGGTTGGATATTCCACCTTTTCTAGTTTTTTATTGGTCTTTTTTCCACGTGCTTTATATTGACAGCTCTGTTTTTATTGTGGTGTTTACCTGCAGGTTCGTTGTTGGAATGGAAAGGCATTCTTACTCGGAATTTGGGATTTTGTTTGGACATGGCAACATTGTTAATGGCTCTTGGTCATTATTTGCATATATGGTGGCTGCATGGCATGGCATTCCATCTAGTGGATGCAGTCCTTTTCCTAAACATACGTGTAAACTATGAACTCTACTCTCTATTCCGAACATCTTAACTTTTACTGATTTCATCATGTCATAACTTAATTTCATATTCTTTCAATTCATTGCTTCTGATCAGGCCTTGTTGAGTGCAATTGTAAAGCGAGCAAAAGGATTTAGGAAGTTGAGGAAGGCTTTAGGCGCCCTTCATGCAGCGCTTCCAGATGCAACAACTGAAGAGCTTCGAGCATATGATGATGAATGTGCCATTTGTAGGGTATGCTCAGTAATATGTTGCTTTCCATTTAATTTTTCACTTGATCTTAAACTAATGAACTGGCAAAACGATAGGAACCCATGGCTAAGGCAAAGAAGCTACACTGCAATCACCTTTTTCATCTTGCATGTTTGAGATCTTGGTATGATTATGTTATTTGTTTCTAAGAGCTTTTGCTTCTTTTGTTTTTGATCTTGAGCATTTTATAATCGATGTAATGATGAAATTAGTAAATATTGGCAGGTTGGATCAGGGTCTAAATGAGTTTTATGCATGTCCAACTTGTCGAAAGCCACTTTTTGTGGGCAGATCTGAAGATGAGGCTAATCCACGTAATGCAGAAGTTCTAAGTGATGAACAGCTTGCTCGTCAAATAAGTTCAGGACTTGATCGACAAAACACTTCTGGAAATATCCTGCCTACAGGAGTATTACCCAATCAGATACAGAATTCTACAGAAAGTGGTCCTTGGAGGTTCACTTCCTTACTCCTTTTAATCAATGTAGTTTCTCTTGCCTGCCTTGAAGTATAATCACTCATCTGCTTATAGCTGAAAAACTCTGCTAGCCCCTAAACACGCTGATCAAATGTTTTGGTCATCTTTTTTGTTATTATTATTATTTTTTTTTAATTTTTAGTTTTATTTTTTACTTGATTTGGCAGATAAGTCCCAGTAACACGAGTCTTTGACTGGGAGAGATATCACTCCTGATGCCTGTCGTGCTGACTGGTTTTACAAGCTATTTCTTTAGAAAGTTTAATCATCATTAAAATCATGTACAACCTAAAATAGTCATGTTCAAAAAAAAAAAAAGTCGCAAACACTTCTCCACAAACTTTTTCATTTTAAGAAGATAGCAAATACAGTCCCCCTTGAATATAGTTCCAACTCTCCTGCTATATAATGCATGACTATTTTTGAAATATGCTGAAAGTATCGTTGTTTTCTTTCCTTGTTTTATTAACAAATTTTTTCGTTTTGCTCCATAGGAGTCCAGGATTGGATTCCAGTTGGTTGCGTACTTGGCCTGGTCAAGGAGTTGATGGTGCTGGTCCGTCAAATGCTATATCATCAGTGGGACTAGGGAGAGTTCAGATGATGATGAGGCATCTTGCTTCTGTTGGGGAAACTTATGCACAGACTGCTCTTGAAGACTCAGCCTGGAACCTCTGGCCTATAAATCCCTCTCAGGCTGCCACAACTGGTCAACCTATTCCTCCTGCTGCAGGTGGTAGATACCCTGGAGGTGCGGGTGGTGTACATATCAGAACTACCTCACACGCAAACAACAACATTGCAAACATACTTGCCATGGCAGAGACTGTGCGTGAGGTTCTGCCGCACATCCCAGATGACATAATTTTCCAGGTAAAGTTTCTAATTCTGACACACTCGTGTATGGAGTTCTTCATTTTTTTTTATCTGCATATCTGGATTGCTAATTACTTGGTCATGTTTGTCATATACAGTAGCCAATGGCTGAGCGCAATATTGCTGAGTGCAGGCACATGCTCCCATTCAAGATTATTCTTAATTTTTTTCCTCTCTAAATCCCCCCACTCTATAAGAAAAGTTATAACTGTAGTCTTACCTAATAATTGAAATATACAACCATGTTCTTAATTTAATAAAACTATATCAATTTTTTTTTTTCCCCATAATGCTTGCTCACATTGAAAAACTCCACCATCGAGTGTAGCTGTCTACTCGACGAGCATTTCACGTCATAGTTATTTTTCGTTGGATTAGCTATGTTCTAGTATTACTTGGTTTGCCTTCTCTTATAAAATCGGATATGTTGTATTTTTCAGGATTTGCAGCGAACAAATTCTGCAATGGTTACTGTGAATAACCTTCTCCAAATGTGACAAGGCATATTATGCTTCTAAATACTCTCGGTTACCGCAGGTTGTTTTTGTACCTAAGGACTCCCTCTTTGTCCCCCATTTTCCTAGTCTTTCTTACCTTCCTTCCTACGCGTATTAATGAGCTTCATACAATGTATATAGAGGCAGCTCACTTGATCACTTGTACTAGAGGAAAAAAAAGGGAAAGATACACATTTTACGGCTCTCTTCTGTACTACCCCCGATATCCTTTGAAAAATAAATTCCCCATGTAACATTCTACACATGTATAGTTTGTGATTCATCCAACATTCTTAGTGGATGTTTGGTTCGTGGATTCAGAATCATGATTCATAATCATTTTCAGTTTACGTGTGTTTTTTGTGACATAAAATATTGTAACGAATAACGAATCATGATTCAAATCATGACACAAATTCACTAACCAAATACACGGTAAATGTTTTACTGCATGTTGTAGTCCACATTCTACAACTAAGGCATAAAAACAGTTTGGAGAGATTTGAATTCATCTGTTTGTAAAAGTCTGAATTGCAGACGTGTTTATTGATGCTACCAAATCAAAGGCCAGAAAGTTTGGTGTCTCTACCATGATTAGTCAACAAAAACTGTAATAAGTAATTTAGTAAATAGCGGATTTTAAGATTATTTAAAATAAATGTAGTTTCATTTACAATTAATAAAAGATAATTTATATGATAAAAAAATTTTATTTATGTGGAAAAAATCTTATACCGGTCAGTAAAAAGAAAATTTACATGAAAAGAATTATTTTCTTGTCATAAAAATAACATTTACATGGTAAATTATTATTTAATTTAAATATATATATATATATATATATATATTTTTAAACAAAGGGGTTGTTGGTATGGTATCTTAACTCCCACTCTTAGTGCCTATAGAATTAAGTGGCAGAACCGATGCAATAGTCAAGGGCTTAAATCTATTCTCTATTAGTTCACAATTTAGGTTTTACTAATCTACCACTTGCCTTTTATACCTTCTCATTGGTGAGTATTGCTACTTTTGAGGCTGAGATTCTTTTTATGAGAATGTAGGAATTTAAACCTTAGATTGTGAATGAGGGAGACTTAGAGCACGCGTCCTTGCCACCATACCATGCCACCACAAGTAGCGGTGGCTAAAGAGTTGGGTTATTTTAGAATAATCCTTGTTTCTAATATCGCATAATATAAACAGATGATATGAAGTTAGGAACTTTTGGCAGTTGATGAATGATTCTAAACACCAAGCCAGACGTAGAGACAAGGGCGCCGAGCGAAGCAAGACAGTGCCGAGGTTTCAGAAGACAGGCTTTGGAGTTGTTTGTAGTCAAACACGATCTTCTAAGCTCTTTTTGTCACGCAGTCTTTCCGAGCCATTAGACACAGAAACACTAAAAAACTTGAATTGGTTAATACAAAAACTCCAAACACTTTTTCTGCTTTTGACTTCTTATTATTCTCCTTCAAATACATGCTTAAATTTTCTTGGAAACAGTCCTAGCTAGTTCGTTATGGTGTGACGAGATTCATAATTTAATTTCGTGCGTCACAGTTGTGATGTCTGTTTGTGTTGTCACTCTCACACTCTTGACCTTTTTTTTTTCCTCGTGTTAAACTATGGCCTGTGTTAAGATTCATGATCTTTTCTTCGAATGAAACTTTTTTTTTAATTGCATCTTTAGTTGAATATCCTTGCCGAGATATTTGAACTAAAAATAAAAATAAGAGAAATAAAGAAAATTTTCTTCTTAGAACACCAGTGTTTCTTGCTTATCAGTCGCCAGATCTGTATTATTTTTTCAATTTGATTTAACTTTTGACCAGATTTAACATAGATCTGACGGTTGATAAATAGAGAACACTGGTGTTCTTAAAAAAGAGAAAATATAAGAAAAAATCCCGAGAAATAATTATCGTAAAAAAGTTAAATTGTGATTTAAATTTATGAAAAGATTGGGAAAGTTTTACCCCACCAACGTTTGGTCGCAACCTATAGCCTAATTTTCTTAGAATGCGCTCGATTTTCATTGTGTTTTATTAGTCAAATTGCTAAATTGTCAAGGTTGAAAAATCAACATCTTGGGTATTTTAACTCAAAACAAATATTTTTACTCACCACAAACACGAGTTGGGACGCACATACGTACTCTTACTTTTCTTGTTGCCTAACTCTCATCTCATGAGTGAACTTTTATACCATCATCTCATCTCATGATATATCTTATACGCATGCATCAGATGAATTATGCCCTAATTGTCTAGTAAGTAGTGATTAACATAGAGAATGTTGTTAATCACTGCTACGTGGCAATGTTGAATATGTTATCAGTGGGGTCGGGGCACTACCCGGTCCGAATGGGGTGTGCCGGCGTGGTGGTCATCTTCTAATGGGCCTACCTTAATTTGACAACTCAGCCGAGTACCTATACTAGTATGGTTAGTGTTTCCTAAGCAAACTGAGGGAAGGTCAGTTGAAAATTCAAATTAATTATGTCCAGTCATGCATATTTCCAATTTGGCTTTTTTTTTTTTTTTTTTTTTTTTTTTTTTTTTTTTTTTTTTTTTGTATGGATGTCCCATTAACTTTACCAGTTTAGCAAATTGGTCCTTCAAGAAAAGAAAATGCTTGAAATTAAGGAGGTGTCGGTAAAAAAATAAAATAAAAAAATAACCAATTTGGAAATCTGTGCATTGTTTGTTAACTTGATTAATTGACTTGCGCGATACAATGTTTTAAATCGCGTGTATATATACTTGTGCGAAAATATGTATCAACTTTGATCACGGGGCATTAAAAAAAAAAACTGACCACGGGTTATCATATTCATAAAATGAGTTTCCATCAATATATTTTTCTCGTTTTTATTGCAATTGAGTATAAGCTGCAAGGCTATTTTTTTTTAAATATTAAGTTAGTTACTCATGAATAAAATAATGGTATGACAAATGAAATTGTACTCGATCGAGAGGAGAAAATTAGGTGGGAAAAACCAACAAACACGGAGCCACAAGCATGAAAACCAACGACAAGATTTGAAGAATTTCAAACAGAAACAAACAAATAGATCCGTCTTTGCTAGCCTTGTAATCCTACACTTGTTTTCTTCCTCGGTAACTTCCACTTTAGGGAACATATTTCCTCTTGTTTAACTAATAAATTTGCAATGGTTAATTCTTTTTCATTTCTACATCTTCTTGTGTTTACAAATGCCCCCTAAAGTTTGGTATTTGATGTACCCCGATGAATAAAAATAACGGTTCATTTTTCAAATTGCGAACATAAAATATTGATCTGATTCAACTATTCGCTAAATTTATATATATATATTACGCAAATCACTATAAATGTTCCAATATTAGTACTTCAAGATAAGTTGACAAAAGAGACAAATCCAAAAATTCTCTTCTCCGTAACCAAAGGAAGCATGCGACCTATATATGTAATACGTAATTACATATAATATTAGGTGAAAATCCTAGCTAGTTTAATAAATTCATAAACCGGTCCCGTTCTTTTCGCTGATTCGAGTTTAAAATTTGAGTTTTGCTACAGTAAAAAGCTCTCGCACAACATCACATCTCAACTCGAATTAAAAATTCGAATTAGCGAACCGAACGGGCCCAACTTAAGAAATCAAGCCTCTGCCTGATCACTAATCAGATGCTAAATCTGCTCCTGATCTCCATATTACAGAAAAGCATATATGTATTATAAGCTATATATATATAATATGAATATCCTTTCTTTTTGAGGGCCCTTATTCACTTATCTTTTTCCTTCTTCATCAGTCTCATCAGTAGTCAATCTCACTTGAATGTTCTCTTCATGTCCACCTTCTTTTTATGTCTCTTACGTAACAAAACTAGCCTATATGCTCCATAATTTGAGCATATAATAGAGACTACTTCTACTGCTCGTCTCTATATATTTATACATATATATACATCATATCACATCCCAATCAATCCTCCAGCTTGAACAAGTTACAATCAATCTCGTCATGTCGATTGTATCTTGTTTCTTCATAATCTTACTCTTGTGTCTCTCCAAGAAAGATTATTCTTGTAAGGCTCGCCAGATCGAAGCTCACTACAAGGTTAGTACATTAATTAGAATTAGTTTATCTTTACTAATATTGTTCATTAATTTCATAAAAATCTCTTCATTTTTTTTTTATTACTTTTTTTTTTTTTTTTCATTTTGAGAACTGATCATGCAATGATATATACATATTCAGGTTCAACTTCATATGGAATCGGCTCAAGGAAGAGACAGCTTTGATTATCGTGATAGAGGCCATATTGTTACGAGTGATCAAGAACAATCAAATAAAGGATTGACAAGAGGAAAATTTTCAGGTGGTGTTCTAAGAAAGCAGCCTCTTGTTTATGTTTCTTGGCGTGTCCCCTCCAAAAAGCAAGACAACAAGAAAAACAGTTATAAGGACAAAAATCCTGGGTTTTACTCTGATTATTCTCGACCAAGAACGCGTCCTCCTTCTCATAATTGAATTTGTGTCTTAACTACTTTTTCATTTTTTTTTTTTTTGCCTATTTTATGTTAATGATTCATAACTCATCATTAGCTATACCTTAATTTTCTTTTTCCCCAACATCTCAAGTTGTGATCTTTTCTAAAGGTTCTACAATCAAATATATAAATAAATTAAAGACTCAAAGAGTTGGGATATATAAGACATAGCTAGTATATGGATAGGGGTATTTCTTTGAGACATCATTTTGTTTCGGATGCGCTCAATTCAGCTATTTTGTACACCATATATAATTAAGTCATTTTATCTATCAATTACATTTTGTGCTTTTTCTGTTTTTCATGTAAAATTGTTTTAATTATTATTGTCATGTACATTGTTATTCGTGATAGGGATATTGGGACATGCAGGAAGGGAGATGTTTGAGTCTTTTTGTCACGTGAGTTTGCTTAAGGCAACACAAATAAAGGTAATAAAAAAAATGTAGAATATGCAGCTATAATTTTGTGGGGTTTCATTTTATTTTGACCTTTTTTTTTTTGATAAATTGGTTTAAAAAATGTAATATTTTGGTAATAATTAGGAGAGCTCTCATGCATGCATGGGCTATCTCTTTAATTTCACCATGTTCGTGATGGATGTGACAAGGTATAATTAAGTTATACAACTCTTGTATAGTCTTATTCATGTGCAAGTTGCAAAACCCTGGTCAGTCCCGCACCACATGATTGTGGATTGCCTTATCTTGTGTTGCATGAATTCGACTGTTAGAATAATCTGGAGAAGTCGGTTTGAACAGAGTACATGACATCTATATATAATGTGTGTGTGTGTATATATATATAATATATAGTATTATAGATTAAAGTTGATCATTATTGCCGGTTGTGAATTGAGACTGTTCGACATTGGAAACTAGTACTAACAACATCACTTAACAGTTCTAACATATGTTTGATCAGAAAATTAGCATATAGTGATGCTTTGCTTTTAAAAAAATAATAAATAAATAAAATAAAATAAAATAAACAATTATTATACTAGTTTATGCACCAGCAAAACAGACACAAAAAGAAGCAATTGCATTTCTCCGAATTTAAACGTTCCTCCAATGTGTAAATTTATAAACCGTACTATAAATATAGAATAAAGGTATAGATTAACAGAAAAAAGAGGGTGAGAGGAGTATGCATATATATATATATATATATACACATATATATAATTATATAATTATATGTATTTCTTGTGTATGCTCGTGTGTGTAGGAACCAAGAAGAAGAGGGCTATCGGCTAAAGAAGCTGTACAATTCAATGCTGCTAATAAAGTAGAAGATAATCATGATCGTGATCATGCAGTTGTAAGCGACTATGAGCCACCGCATGGGACACCTCCGATTCACAACTAACTGACTTAAGTAAATATAAAGATAATTTCGAGCTTAATTACTAATTAATTACTATCATAAACAGCAAACTATCTAGATATCTATTTAATCTCTCAATATTAATTCTCTTTTTCTATATGTTGTATCAACTATTGTCTCGAACAGTACTAGAGTTTGCAGATTCATTATCATATGTAGAAATATTAGACAAGACATTGACTATGATGGATCATGAGGTTATAATTGTCTTCCTCTATTCTATTTTTTTTTTTTTTTATATTTTACAAGTTACTCCATTGAGCTTACACGTGATTTTGAAGGATTTTGCATATACTATTATTAGAATATCAACCTTTCAGCACTGGAAAATCCAAAACAGCAAATAGTGTTGTTAATTAGCACTATTTTTTCTCTTCTACATATTAAATTCTTGGCTACACTAGACATGACGAGTTCTCTCGCAATTATTATTAATAAAAAAAATAAAGAAAATTGTTGAACTTATCTTAAAAGTGTATGCGTCTAAATTTTTTCTTTTATTCACATTATACTATTTTATTAATATAATTATTTGATTAAAAAGGATATTGCAATATTTCTCAAGATTTCTCAAATAACTGCCATATTTGGGCCTTATTTGTTACCATTTGGGTTGGGCTAGACAATAATTTAGGCCGAAAATGTTACATTTTGTATGTTTTGAATACCTCGATCGCGAAAATAAAAAATAGGAAGTACCTACTCAAAAAATGTTCTTTTTGTTTTCATCTCCTTCAACAATATTGAAAATGTTCTTTTATTCTCTTCCGTCTATCTTTTTTTCTCTTCTCTTTTTCTTAAAAAGGAAAGCAGTGAACAATTTAAAGAGAGTAAAAGTTTTTTTTTTTTTTTAAAAAGAAACAATGCTATTATTGTTGATCAAGGTGAAAAAACCAATTCAGAAATATGGGTAATTAACCGATCCCAATCCTATTCCAAGATTTTCTTTTTTTTATGAAATATTACAAGATGGACATTGAGACATATTCAACTAACAACATGGGGCAGAATTGCAACGTAAAATATTAGTAATAGTGAAGGCTCTTCTAGTTTAATGTTTCAAAACATACTCCCTCTAGTCTCCACAATTCTCTACAATATTAATCATTAACAAAAACTAAACCATAATTAAACAAAAAAAATGTAGTTAATTACCAAACTGCGAACTAATTAAGGACATACCACAAGTATTTTTAAGTCGGAGTAAGAAAGTTATCAAATTGCTGATCTCCATAATCAAAGCAACCAGAAAAAATTGTCGTCGCCAAACCCATTAAAGACATGCCAAGCACCATCCCACTAGCCAAAGCCCCAAAGAACCAACCTTTTCCTTTCTCCACAAAATCAACTCTCATTCTCTCACTATTCTTATTATAATAATTAGCAGCCCCATTATAATTATCATACTCTTCTTTCTCTTCTTCAGCCAAACAGTCGGAAAAATATCCCACGTCCCCAAACGACGCCGTTTCCTTCTCACCACCAAAACACTCCTTATACTCAACCATCGCCAATCCATCATCATCGTCATCTTCTTCTTCTTCAGAACCCTCCAAACCACCATCATCAACAACTATCTCCGGGTCTCCGTAAACTACGGGGGACTCCGGCGCTTTGTCGTCGGAGACCTCTCCGTCGTCGTTTAGGCACGACTCGGTGCACGAACACGTCGAAGCGTCGTCGATGTGATGTTGAGGCGACGAGTTTCCGAAGCCGGCCCAGTCCAAGAAGGCGCTCTCGAGTTCGTCCAATCGCAGGGACATGTGCTGCAAGTGGTGGGGCTTTGAAGGGTGAGAAGTTTTCTCGGCGGTTAAGAGGCTTTTGAAGAAGTCCAATCTCTGTATGAATTCTGTGGTGAGATTGGTAAGCTTGGCCGTAAAGTAGTGGGGTGGGATGGTATTTCGATCATGATCTTCCGGGAAGGAAAAGATGTCGTTGAGTAGGGATTGAAGTTCTTGGAGTTTCTTCTGCAGAATTGAATATCTCTTCGTCATTTTTCTTTTTCTGGTGATCTTCTTCTATATGGAAGTTATACAATTGCATGTTAGATATATAACATGTCTTGGAGAGGGTCGGAGAATTGGTGATAATGGGGAGTGGCGGTTATAGCTTTTTGGGAGTTTCTTATATATACACGATTATACGTGACGGTTCAAGCTTGCACCTTAAAATAAATAAATAAAAATAAAAATAAAAATCAAGATCGCACTTTTTTTTTTTTTTTTGGATTGAACCTTTAAAATGCTAAAAAGGGGAGAAAGGCTTTTTTATTTCTTTTCAAAAGAAACAGAAAAGACTACAATAGTGTGTGTGTGTACTTTCCCTTTTATTCCATCACGTGAGGATTTAGCTTGGTTGAGTATTCAATTTTTCTCCTTGTTTTTTTTTTTTTTTTTTTCTTTTTTTTGGTTCATGCTTTCTCAGAAATATATTCTAGTTTAGGACTTTCTATTAGATATTTTTAAATAAGATCTTTGACAAGAACTTTTGCGTGTCAGCGAATATACTTCAACCTACAATTGAAAAAAAAAAAAAAAAAAAGGAAAAACTTTCAATTGAATCCTTCCTATTGAACCTAAGACACAAGTAGAGTGATTAAAAGAAACAAAATGAAAAGGGAAAAAATAACGTAAAAAGGAAACACCAAAATGTATTTATATTGAGACCTCCATAAAGGAACCAATTTGGCATGTTTATTTACTAGGATTGAAGAATGGGAGTGGGGAATGAGAGTCAATCCTATGTTTACTTGCTCTTTTTTATCCTGAAATGGGAGTGAGATTGGTGGGCCCCACTCAAATTTGGGATTGAGGAATGGGATTGGCACTCCCATGCCCTCCCTTGGGATTGAGACTCTCATTCCTAATGTTAATATTAATTTACTATTATACCCTTATTTTACTTATAAATACACAATTCAAAATAAAATTCAAAAAATAATAAATGCAACATATATTTATTATTTTAGTACCCAATTATTACACAAAATATTTTAATTATGATTAATTTAATATAATAAGTACACTATATTTTTTAAATTGAAAATATCAAATTGATTTAAAGGGTATATTAGTACTTTTATACTTTTTTCATTTCGATTCTAGGTGTAAGTAAACGTATGAATGAGATTTGGAATAACTCCGATTCCGAATCCTATCACTAAGTAAACAATTTATTCTGACTCCGATTCCTCACTCCGAATCCTACCCACTCTGAATCCTGCCCACTCCGATTCATGCTCATTCCGATTACGTGTAGGTAAACATACCATCATTCAAATAGGGAAAAACTAACATAAAAAGGAAACACCAAATGTATTTATATCGAGACCTTCCATCTCCTTTTTTTTTTTCTTTTTTTTCCTTATAAGAAATCTATAAGAAAATTAGTGAATGTGTTTCTCTATTTCACAATTTTAGCTTTACGTTTTCTTTTCTTAAATTTCTATATCTCTTAAGTTAATATATACAAAGAAAAGTTGAGGAATAAATGTTATAATGTCTAAAGGCGTTCCTCTTGTAGATTTATTTTTTGTTTTCATACCTCTTCGCGCTTAAGAAACCATTACACAAAATGATCGTGTTTAGAATCCCAATTTACATTACATCTCAAATTCAATAATATTTTCAATCCGCTCACAATATAACATTATTTTTTGATGTGGGCTAGTATGAAGGGTTAATAAAAAATTGTTTAAAAAATTTATTATAGATCATTTTACAAATTTATTTACAAATATATGTGGATTTAATTTCAATGGACAAATCTGTTGTCATGGTTTTATATAAGCTAATTATTTATATTATTTTAAATATTTAGGTGTCAGTACGGCCTTTTATTTTTCTTTATTAATTAAATAATAATTATTTATTTTTAAATAAAATAACATAAATAATATTTTTATTATCTAGTATTTCTGGTTTTTTTTTTTCTATGGGTAATTAACTCATAAATCAAATTTGAGTCAAGTATGGGTCGGAGTAACAAATTCAGCCCGCCATGTTAAGGCCCATGGCCCAAAAACTCTTTTGCGCCAGATTCCGCGTCAATCAAAATGATTTCCGTGGGGTCACAAATCAGAAAAGTAACATGCATTTCTTCACCTGTGTAATCGCACTAATAGATTCCCATGTCGAAGTAATTCCTCCCCAATCACAAGGCTGTTTCCGTCAATTTGACATCCCCTAATTACGCGGCGAAACTTTACTTTCACCCGGATCAACCTTGCCAAATCAGAAATGCGGTTAAACAAGATGATCTCACCCAGTCAATTTCCAATTTTACCCCTCCAATGACCTTTTCCGACCATCATCGTACTTCTCACAAATTTGTCTCTTTCTCTCATTCTGGCCTATCAATCAACATCTTCAAAAATCGGTGGATAACAACACAATCACATCGAAGCTAGCTTTACTTCAACTACTAGACTATAACCAAAACCCTAACTCGTTCCTTCGACGAGTTTCAGCGAGTTCGCTCAAAGCGATCATGAGTCGAATCAGAAGAATCGAGCTCATCAAGCCATACACCTACACCTACTACCCCTCCTCCTCCTCCATCCTCCTCAGAGAAACCTCCGTTTTCGCTCCCAAAACCCTAGCTTTTCCTTCCTTCTTCGACGAATTGGAAGACTGCGAGCTTGGTTTCGGTCTAGGTCTCGATCTTGTGAGCCCAAGCCTTAGCCCCTTCGAGCTCTTCGACAATGTCACCGATCTGATCCGCGTTGAGAAAACGCCGTCGTTCTCGTCGTACCGGCGAATTCAGCGGGTCGAGAGGCTAGGAGCCGAGGTTTTCCTCGAGAGGCTGAGCGACCGAGTCAGCGAGTTGGAATCGCGCTTCGATCGGCTTGCGAGGATCGGCGCCGCCGGCGCCGAAGATCGGAAGTACACGTGGACTGCGGAGATAAAGGCCCCGGCGGCGAAGTACGTCACCGATCGGAAGTACAAGTTGACGGCGGAGATCAGAGACGGAAAGAAGGAGAAGAAGGAGCAGGGGAGTGGGAAGACTTACAGATGGACGGCTGAGATCGAGGGAAAAGGATCGGACGGTCCGATCTCAAGGACGTACACGTTTAAAGCATCGACTGGCGGTGGAAACGAGTGTAGCGAATCCAAGACGAAGGAGAAGAAGAAGAAGAGTGATAAGAGCGAGAACGGCAGGCGTGTGGTGGTGATTGAAGAGCCTGATGAAGCAGATCATGGGGCTGTAGTTCTGAGGCAGGTAATAGCTTCTAAAATTACATTTTTAGCCCTGTTTTATGTAGCATAATCTTCTTTCATGATTTAAAAATGGATTGGTGGTCATTGGTCAATTAATTGGGTCCATTTGGTTGATGTTGTTGTTGTTTAGTCATCAAAAATGATCATTTGATCAGGACACAAATAGTACTTTAAAACCGATTAATTGAGCTGGGTCTTTATTGTACTGTTCTCGTGAGTATATCATTCGTTTAATTCAACGAATTCGTTGATTTAAGTTTTTAATTTAAGTTGAGATGTGATTTTATATAAACGTTTCTTACTGTAGCACAAAAAGATGTGATTTTTTTGCTGAATAGTCAGGTCTTGTCTTGTTAGGTAACATTTTTGAAAAAACAAGGGTGAAAATAGATTCTTTTGGTGGTAGGTGGCTTAGCCTTGGGTGGTTTCGCGTCCGCCTCGACATTGAGCTCTTCATTACAAATCGCTAACCTCTTTTTTTGCTGAATAGTCAGGTCTTGTCTTGTTAGGTAACATTTTTGAAAAAACAAGGGTGAAAATAGATTCTTTTGGTGGTAGGTGGCTTAGCCTTGGGTGGTTTCGCGTCCGCCTCGACATTGAGCTCTTCATTACAAATCGCTAACCTCAAGTTCAAAAGGAGAAAGATAATTTCCGCCTTTTATTGTGAAAAATGAAAATTTTAACTAACAAGGCTGCGGGTCCCAAATGCATCTATTTGTGATTATTCAATTCTGATCTGTTATTCTCTTTACGATGTTTTATCATGTTTCTCGGTTTTACTTTTTTAACTGAGCAAATAAGTTTCTGAGGCCTTGAATGTGTTTTTTTAATTTTGTTTGTGGAGGGAAGGCTTTTGCCAAGAGAATTGGGGGAAGGAATGATAAGGGTAAGAAGAAAGAACTGTCCCCTCTGGACGCAGCAATGATAATCCAGATGAGCTTTAGGGCTTATCTAATTCGTCGATCACAGGCTCTCCGTGCCCTTCGGGACCTGGCAGTTGCCAAGACCAAGTTGAAGGAGATCCGAGCATCATTCAATAATTTCTCTTACCGCCGCCTTGTGGCTCGTGATGCTGAGGAGCGTCAAAGGTTCTCAGAGAAAATTATTGTCCTGCTTCTTACTGTTGATGCTATCGAGGTAACACGATATCCGTTATGAAGTTTCCATCCTCTGATATTCTTATATTTCTTATTTCACACCAACTATGGACATGACCGTTGTTTATTTTCCATTGATTCTATTTACCTCTACATTTTTAAGACTTATGATTTCATGAAGAAGGATTTTGGGACGATAATGTATGAAAGCAGTTCCAAAAGTTGAAACAAACAAATGAAAATAACGTGACAATTAGTTAAGAATTGCTAATGTAAGTGAATGAAATCGATCGCCTACTGAAACACATTATCATGTTAACATGAGAACGTACATATTTCTTCTCATTCTCTCAGAAAAGTGTCAATGTTTTTCTGTTGCAAATATGGGATCAAGGCATTTTAACCATTCCTTATCAGTATCCTTTTCTTCAAACTAATCCCCTAGAGATGGGTGCTTTTTTTTTTTTTTTTTTTTTATAGTTTTCTCTCCTGTTTAAGCATGAGAAACATATTAAAAAAAAAAAGGGTTCTAACTTGTACGAACCTTTTTTCTCTCTAATTTCTTCTACTGCAATGGTTGTGCTTTTTAAACGGTTATAGGATATTGGTTCACCGAGGTCCTGATGATCTGCATTGTATTAGGGTGCTGACCTAATGGTGCGAGCTGCAAAAAGGTCAATGGTGGATGAGCTGGAAGCAATGCTTGATGTGGTGGATCCACAGCCTGCCAAGAAATCGCTCTCCATGAGGAGGAGAACCTTCGACATGCCTGACGGTATGATTGAGAAGGAAATCGCTGCAGGAGTTGCAGAGGTTGTCCAAATGCTTAACAGCGATGAGAACGTTTCCAACACCTTTGCAACTTGCATGTGAGAGAGAGCGTGGTAAACTCGGTAATGTAGTTGCCTCGTTTCGAGGTGCTACTCTTTTCCTGTTGTAGTTTGTTCCTTGAGATAGTAACGTAGTTGAAGGCATTCAAGTGACTTGTTTTCCCTTGTGAGTAGATTCTTCAATCTCAAGCAAGCTGCTTTTTTTCTTCCAGTACTTGTCTCCTGTTCAAGTCGGTTGTTTACTTCCTCGTTCTCAGACTATATTGTTTATAATAAAAGACGGTTCACTTTTTGTGTTACATATCAATTTTCCCTACGTGTTTTTCCTTGATTCTCTATCTCTAAAAAGGTCATTGATTCTATCTGTGGAAATAAGAATTAAACTAGTCAAAACGATGACGTTTGGAGTAGGATTAAACGACGAGGTTTGATCAAAGAAAATAAAATGACGCTGCCACGAAGAGAGTCCAGAAAATGAAGTTCAAAGCGGAATACTTGAGCAAATAGATGAAGCCGAGAAAGTATTATAATACTTGCTTAAGCTTAAGGTATTTGTATTACATTGTTATTGAGTTCGTGTTTTAAGTTTTTACTTGACAGCATCCAACCACATGAATATGTAATGTCTGGTTTCACATGAGTAGTCATAAGTTTTGTTCATTCTACTGCATTCTTACGACGAATAGTGGTGAAGTTCGGGGTTATCTTCAAAAGAGAGGCTCACAACGCCTTTTAATTGATCTTCGATTTTCTGCAGAGGTGGAAAAGACTTATTTTAAAGAGAAGTTTGAGCAAACCGGATTTGATTTTTGTTAAATGTGGGGAGAAGAAGACGAAGAAGATTGTCCTCGACTTATTTTGAAGAGAAGTTTGAGCGAGGTGCCGGAGAACTGTAGTGAGCAAGCATTAAAACATCGCACCAATGCATTTATGTTACTTATTATAGGGAGACGCATTGCATCAAATAATTCTTTTGTTCATGTTTCTGCAATGTACCTTCTTTGTGTTAATTTAAATACCATAAATAACTACGCATGGTCTGCTGCGGCATTTGTTGTTCTTAGTAGTTCATTAAATAATAACAAAAGCATAATTAAAGGCTTTTTTTACGCGGGTAAGGTTCTATTAATTGATGTATCATTTTGTTTAAATGTGCATATGTAAATAAAATAATATATCAATTAATAAACAAAATAATTTATTATTTGCATATGTAACTTTTAAATAAAACGTTACCAGTAGAGAATGGGAAAAGCCTTTAATTGTGTCTTTGTTATCAATCAATGAACTATCAAGAATAAATGTCACAGCACACCATGCGTAGTTATTTATAGTATCTAAATTAACGCATGAAAGGTATATTACAGACACATAAGCAAAAGAATGCAATGCATTTCCCCACAATAAATAACAGGAATGCATGAGTGTGATGTTTTAATGCTTACTACAATTCTCTCTCGCTCGCTCAAACTTCTCTTTTAAGTAAATCAAGAACAATCTTCTTCTCCCCGCATTTAGTAAAAATCAAATCCGGTCTTTCAATGTCAAGATACTCACGTGTAATTGTTTCAACGTCATCGTCTTCTAACCTGGAGACTTGTGCTTCATCAATGGAAGCTCAGTGATATAATATATCTTAAGTCTCGCTAATTCGAGTTTTTAATTTAAATTATAATGTGATTTTATGTAAGAGTTTTTTACTGTAACAAAAAATTTAAATAACTGTTTCTGAAAGTTTTTTACTATAACAAAACTTTTAAATTTAAATCGATAAAATAAACGGGTAAATATCAAAATGAATTCTGGTCTGGCCAAGTTGAAAACAAGATTCCACTAGCTTGTAGAGATCTAGAAACGCCGTGAGTAGACGAAGAAGATTGTCCTCGACTTATTTTGAAGAGAAGTTTGAGCGAGGTGCCGGAGAACTGTAGTGAGCAAGCATTAAAACATCGCACTAATGCATTTATGTTACTTATTATGGGGAGACGCATTGCATCAAATAATTCTTTTGTTCATGTTTCTGCAATGTACCTTCTTTGTGTTAATTTAAATACCATAAATAACTATGCATGGTCTGCTGCGGCATTTGTTGTTCTTAGTAGTTCATTAAATAATAACAAAAGCATAATTAAAGGCTTTTTTTACGCGGGTAAGGTTCTATTAATTGATGTATCATTTTGTTTAAATGTGCATATGTAAATAAAATAATATATCAATTAATAAACAAAATAATTTATTATTTGCATATGTAACTTTTAAATAAAACGTTACCAGTAGAGAATGGGAAAAGCCTTTAATTGTGTCTTTGTTATCAATCAATGAACTATCAAGAATAAATGTCACAGCACACCATGCGTAGTTATTTATAGTATCTAAATTAACGCATGAAAGGTATATTACAGACACATAAGCAAAAGAATGCAATGCATTTCCCCACAATAAATAACAGGAATGCATGAGTGTGATGTTTTAATGCTTACTACAATTCTCTCTCGCTCGCTCAAACTTCTCTTTTAAGTAAATCAAGAACAATCTTCTTCTCCCCGCATTTAGTAAAAATCAAATCCGGTCTTTCAATGTCAAGATACTCACGTGTAATTGTTTCAACGTCATCGTCTTCTAACCTAGAGACTTGTGCTTCATCAAAGGGAAGCTTAGTGATATAATATATCTTAGGTCCGTTTAAATCGTTGATTTAAATTTTTAATTTAAGTTGAGATGTGACTTTATGTAAGAGTTTTTTACTGTAGTAAAAAATTTAAATGTGACTGTTTTTAAGAATTTTTTATTATAGTAAAACTTAAATTTTAAATTCGAATTGGTAAAATGAACGGAGTAAATGTCAAAAATAAATTCTGGTTTGGCCAAGTTGAAAACAAGATTCCACTAGCTTGTAGATCTAGAAACGACGTGAGTAGATGCCTAGGTTGCTTAACCTCCTTGTACCTCCCCAAACAATCATTCGTACGTAAATACCATCTAAAACAAGTCTTTTCCACCTCTGCAGAAACTTGAGGATGAACCTTTCATTTTAAAATCTTGTTAATGCGTTATGCGTCTCACTTTTAAAGATAACATTGGTCCTCACCATTATTCGCCATAAGAACGCAATAAAATGAACAAAAACGTATGAATATTCATGTAAAATCAAATATTAGATATTCATGTGGCTGGCTGTTATCAAGTAGAAACTTAAGAACACGAACTCGATAACAATGTAATACAAATACTCCTTTTAGCAAGTATTATATTGATGATTCAATGATTTTTGGGATATTTACATTTTTATACCATGTGTTTTAGGTTTATTAAAAAACTATACATTCAATTTTTAATCTCATCAAATATATACCTTTAAATTATATTTAATACTCAAATTTATACGTTTTCATAGTCAATCCTCGATTTTAAGCATAAAATACCTAAAGTATCCTTAAATAAAAATAGAAGAAAAAAACTTTAAATTTACAGTTTTAACCTTAAAAGATCCAAAATACCATTGAAATAGGGTTTTTTTTGTCTTTTTAATTTTTATTTTTTGTAATATTGAAAAGCATTAGTTTTATTTTCTCTTTTTCTTAAGAATAGTTTGGTCATTTCAAATGTCAAAATCAATTCTTGACTAAGATAATTGATAGATTTGTATATTGAATCTAATTTGAATGTATACATTTAATGAGATCAAAAATCAAAAGTATAGATTTTGAATAAATCTAAAACACAGTTATAAAAATGTAAATATCCCATGATTTTTTTAACTTAGAAGATAGAAAGTTGATAATGGTTGCACTAAAAACTTCTAAAACATAATTACAAAATTAACTTTTAATATTTTTTTAAATATTGTTTAAGCTTTTTCTTTTTCTGCCTCTAATTATCCCAAACCATCAAAAAACAACCCACCTTAAAACTTCCCCATCCCATGCATTAGGGATGTAAGAAATCACCCCGAACCCGATGAACCCGGCTGAGCCGAGCTGACCCTACTCGAAAATCATGGGTTTCCAATTTTTCATTTAATTTTCGGTTTTAATTATGCCTAACCCGCACTGCGCGGGTAGGGGCGCGGGGTGGGGTTACATGAACCCGAGGTAACCCTACCCGGCCGAACATGTTCAAAGTAGGTAAAATAATGTCCAACACTTCAAATTCTTACTTTCATAAGTTTATGGACTTTATGCTTTTAAACTGTTAACTTATTTATGTTTTGGATTCACGGTTTGTGTAAAAAATGCTTGTATGCCATAGGTGTTGAATTAGGACATTCTTTATTTATATTGGAAGTGTTTAATTTCAAAGTGAGTGTTTTAATTGTTCACCTTGCATTTAGACCCCTTCTTGAAGGAAATACATGTTCTGTTTGATAATGATTTCTTCTGTAATAAGCACAGATTAATTGACTAAAAAGTGATCATGTGGTCCTTGAGATCACTCTTGCTTTATGCATATTGTGATAATTGGAAAGGTTCAGCCATGCTTACATTTAGGGAGAAGATGCAAAGTATTTTCGGCCAGAAAGATGGCTCAATAATGGAGTTTTTCAACTACAGTACCAGCCCATACAAATCCAATATCACCATAGCCCATTAGAGTCCACCAAGTCTTTCACCTGAGTAACCCGAGGTCACCCGACAGGTTACGGATTTATAGGCTTATGAGGGTGTTGTGGCCTAAAGTTTTCTCAACCCGCACAATGCGACTCGGCCAAATTTTTCAGCCCAACCCGAGCCAACCCGGCCGAATTACACCCCTAACTATGAGTTATTAGTCTTTATATTTATTATGCCGTAATTTTGTTGCGTAATTATTTACTACAATAGTATTTGCATATATCATTTATTGCTCATTTACTACAATAGTATTTTATCATTTATTTGCATATAAGAGCCTCTTAGTTTAAAACTGATGAAGTCATAGATTAAAATTGGTTTTCACCAACCCGAGTAACCCGACCCTACCTGAGGTCACCCGAAAGGTTACGGGTTTGTAGACTTAAGAGAGTGTCGCGGCCCAAAATTTTCTCAACCCGCACTGGTCGGGTAGGCTCAATTTTTCAGCTCAACCCTACCCTACCTGGCCAATTTACACCCTTACCATGCATAATGAGGGGTCTTAGTTTGCGTTTCTCAATTCTACCAAATTGTCACTTTTGCAAAAAGTACTGCAACGTTTTTTGTAGCCCTAGTATTGACTTCTATTTCACAAGAATTAGTACACAAACAAAAGTGTGAATTGAATATTAACACCAAATCTCAGTATCTCAAATTTTTCAATCGAGCCAATCCGGAGCAATGTTATTGG